CCGGTTGTTTCATCTCTGACAGATGGCTCAGATGACGTACAGCAAGGGCCCATGTGCACACACGCACTGGTCAGGATGCATACGAACGCAGAGCAACGATCCCCGCTGTAGCACGTGGGCTGTTGGGGCAAGTGCTGTTAGCGAGCACCTGTGCAGGCCGGCACACAGCATGAGGGAGTGGGCTGGCCAACACCGTGCCCAGTCGCTATTTGTTTATAAACAAGCACATTCGCTTCACGCGCGTAAAAACACACACACGCTCATACACACGTGTGCGTGTGCACACTCACTCGCGCAGACAGGACAAGGTTCAACATCACCTCTTGTTCAGCGATTCCAGACCTTTCTGAAACAGTAGACTCTGCCACTTTCAACCCTCAACGCATTTTTGTGGTCCGCTATGCACCGACCACATTTTTTGCTTGAAGATCCTACGTCCGAGGATCTGCAGCAAACTCTTTGGACCACTTCCCACAGCCGGGCTGGGACCACGCGTTGGACACCACCTTCCCATGGCCGCGGTAGACCGGCCTGCCGCGGCAAAACTCCCAGGTGCGCCGTCAGATTTTCTGAATTATGGGAAAGGAAAGACCTTCAAGCCCCCCCCCCCCCCCCCCCCCCCCCACTGCACACCTCTCGTCCCGGCACACAGTCGTCGACCCCCACCCTGGCACCTCTCAAGTCCGCGTGTTGCACGCACGCACGCACGGTTTGGCAGGCAAACGGCCACAACGACGACGCCTTCCCACCCGCCCGCCTGGGCACCACGGTGAGGTAGGTTTTGGTTCGCAGGTTAGCGCAGGTTACGACGCCAAAACGTGCGGCGTTCACAGGAGGGGCTCGGTCAAACGTTCAGCGCGACGATCAGGGTCCGCTCGTGTTGGGACTCACCGCGGAGGCAGTGGCCATGCGCGTCGGTCTGTTCCGCGACCTCCTGCCAGCGGGGCCTTGAACACCTGGCAAAGTGCACATAGCCTGGCACAAGCGCCTTGGCGACGTCACCTCCGCTTCGTGGCGAACGGCGATTGTTGAATGCGTAAGCTACTCTGGCCTACAAGCTCCTCTTTACACGAGCGTTATTTCCGCCGCTAGGGCCGATGAAGGCAACCATGACAGCGTCACTGTGCGTCCATTATTTGGCACGTGTTATGTGGGTCCTTCACATATATATGTTTTACAAGTTTCACGTCGATGTGAAAAAAAAAACCCATATTCAAGCGTCACTTATTTTCCCGAGGACCCTTTACTGTGCAATTACGGATTTGGACGAAGGCCATCGCGAGCTGCGCGAGCACCATGTACTGACGGAACATTAGCGAGCGCAAGATCTCTCCATCATCACGCCCGTGCGTTCACGCCAACGATAAAGACACAGAGCGCATGTTATACCCTGGCTCTACTCCTGTACCAAGCGCTGTTTGTGACTGGTGTGACTCCACAGCCTACTGCTGCTGCCGCCTTCCCATCACTGTGACAGAGAACACGATACACATTTTGTTCGAGGCTGAGCAGACCAAGGTGAAGGCCACGCCAGCAATGGACAACCCCTTAGCTCAACGTCCTGTCATCTTAGGGGCCGTCCATAAATGACGTCACACGACGTCACAAAAAGTCAGACACCCCACACCCTCAAATATGACGTCACAAAGCTCTGCCCAACCCCCCCCCCCCCCCAAAATAAAACACGCTTCAAATCGCTTTAAACTATTGTCATTGTAGTGCGTGTTTAATGTGCCGCTGCACTCACTCTGATGTTGTAGGAGAAAACATTTATCAAAAAGTCTATTTAATTAAGTAGGACGTGCCGTCTATATTTATTTAAAGTTGCCCATTTTGATGTGACGTCACATTCCTCAACCCCCCCCTCCCTCCTCGTCACACATCGTCACAAATGTCTGACCCCACCCCCACCCCCCCCCCCCCCAAGGTGCGTGACGTCATTTACGGACGGCCCCCATAGCGCAGAGCAGCGCGCCGCACGACACAAAGCGCCCACTCTCCTCCCTGGCTCTGTGGGCCGACGGGGCTCAGAGCCGCCTTGGCCCCATTGAGGAGGCCCAGCAAGGGCGAATGTCAGCGGCCAGCACCACGACGGACAGGCCAGCCGCCTTTGTTTCCAGAGTGATAATGTTGACGCAGCGCACACACAGAGAGAGAGAGAGGGGGAGGGAGGGGAGGGAGGGGCCCCGATGCCCGCTTCAAATAATTATTGACATTGGTGGCCCAAGCTAGCAGATGAACTGCTGCGAACACGTAGCCCATGAATGTACGTCCTCCGGTATCCTCTTTTGGCGAGGTGAAGTTTAGCGAGCGCCTCTGTGCAGGTCCCCACGGCGCACGAAGTGGTGGTGTGACCGAAACAAACAAAACAAAAAAACCCCCACGCCTGACCACCTTTGTATCCCCCGGTGCTGATGTTTGTACGCCATTGCAGGTACAAAGACAAAGATCATCCGTATAGCCTTAATAGACTGTTGGGGCAAAGTGCTGCAAGCGAGCACCTCTGAAAGCCGGCACGGCGCACGAGGGGGTTGGGGGTTTGGCCAGCACCACGCCCGGCCGCCTTTGTCTCCCCCGACCCCCGCGGCGACGTTCACCCCCAACAGCGCACCGGGGTACTCGTCTCGAGGCCGAGGCGACCCGAGGAGACGCCGAGAAACCCGCTTAGAAAAGTCGTCACCGGCGTTGGCCGTGAGAGGGTCGTAGCGCGGCACGCGGTGCAGTGTGGCTGCCATGGCGACGGCACCCGGCAGCCGGCTCCTCCCCTCACTCTGTCGGCTCCTCCCCTCACACTGTCGGCTCCTCCCCTCTGTCGGCTCCTCCCCTCACTCCCCTCACTCTGTCGGCTCCTCCCCTCACTCTGTCGGCTCCTCCCCTCACTCTGTCGGCTCCTCCCCTCACTCCTCCCCTTACAGTCGGCTCCTACCCTCACTCCTTCACTACTCCCCTCACTCCTCCTCCTCCTGCCCTCACTCCCCCCTCCCCTCACTCCTCCCCACCCAACCCAACAGCCCCCCCTGCCACCACCACCCCCCCCCAAACCCGTCGCGTTTCTCGCAGATCTCATCCCGAACGCTCGACCCATTTGGCTGCCGACTTCGCCGTCACGGCCACCGAGACAGCCGGACAGGGCCCCCAGAAACATCGCGTGTGGCGCGACCATCACTTCTTTGCGCTGTGTCACTGCCCAAGCAGTCCGTCTGTTTAATAGACACACACACGTATACAACAGGCGACTCCAGCGTGGAGAGGAGCACGTGGTGAGCGATATCAGACCACAAAAAAAGATGGTTAAGACCCGTCCCATAAATGACGTCACGCGACTTTGTACTATTTTTTATCCCCCCCCCCCACCCTCGTCACACGGCGTCACAAAAAGTCAGACCCCCCCCCCCTCAAATATGACGTCACAAAGCTCTGCCCCCCCCCCCCAAATAAAACATGCTTCAAATCGCTTTAAACTATTGTCATTGTAGTGCGTATTTAATGCGGCGCCGCACTCTGATGTTGTAGGAGAAAACATTAAAAAGTCTATCTAGTGAACTAGAACGTGTTGTCGATATTTATTTAAAGTTGCCCATTTTGATGTGACGTCACATTTCTCAACCTCCCCCCCCCCCTCGTCACACATCGTCACAAATGTCTGACCCTCTCCCCCCCCCCCCCCCCCCCCAGGTGCGTGACGTCATTTATGGACGGCCCCTTACGTGGATCCGCGTAGGAACGCTCCGTGAGAGCGTTCTCGTGTGGCGTCTCTGGATGGAAAGTGGCCTCGGTGCACAACGGCAAAGGGTGCCCAGAGCCGTCCGTATTCCTCGAAATGATTTGGTGACGCTGCGTTGGCAGGGATGCACAAACAAGAATAACCCAGCAGAGAGAGAAAAAAAACCCTCAAAACACATTCGTGAATAACACTGCGGTTTAAAAAAAGAATAAATAAATAAATTCAGAATATAAGTTTTGGGAAATGGCCCTTCTTCATGGCGCACATAAACGGTAACGTGCACACACACACACACGCGCACGACACAGTTCTTGGCTGTATTCCCGTGGCTCTGAGCCTGGAGCAGAAGAGAGACTTTGTTTGATTAAAGTTTACGCGTCTTGTGCTGCTACCCCCTCCCCCCGCCGCCAACCCACTGGGAGAATGTTGTTTTTTTATTATTGCGGGCAGTGGCCGGGCCTCGGGTGGGCCCCGTGCCACCGTGCCCCGGTGACGGCCACCACGACGCTGGGCCTCGCCAACGCCGACGATTTCCCTGGAGAGAAACGACAACAAAGTCGCGCGCCTCGCTACGAGGAACGCGCTCTCGCAACTCGACACACACACACACACACGCGCGCAAAAAAAATAATAAAACCCACATTTCGTAAACGCGTACTACACAATCTTGATGCGAAACTTTCGAAATTGCACGAATCCATACTCTTTGGTTCTTCCGTTGAAGGCACGTAGGTAGAATAAATAATAGATTGCGCCGTTGCGATCGCAACAACAAGCGAGCGTCTTCAGGTGAGAGTACTACACGCAGCGCCTTTATCGATCCGCGGAGCGATTGAAGGCATCCCCGCTCCTGTATGGCGGTACTGTGGCGGGGTATTTTTTTACACGCTTTTTTTTAATTCGTATTGTTATTGTTACACGCTTTGATTTAACTCACTCTGTCTGTTGTTGTAGTATCATCAAATCTTGTAACGCAATTTTAACCCACTTCCCAATGTGGTATCGACTGCGAACTTGGTATACTTATGTCATACTGATGACAATACTATATTCTATCATAAAGAATAAAAAATATATATTTTAAAACATTCTCTTACACGTTTTTTATTAACTCAATCTGTTGTATCATCAAATCGTGTAACTCAATTTTAACCCACTTTGGAATGTGGCTTCGACTCCAAACTTGGTATACTTATATGTCATACTGATGACAATACTATATTCTATCATTAAAAAATAAAAAAAAAATCTATATTTTTAAACAATCTTTTTTAAATGTTATGTTTCTGCTTGGGTCTAATTGTCCACGGTAAACTCACATTGGCTGTAATATCACCACCGGTCCCCTTACGTTATGGCAAGCTTCGGGGCCACTTCCTGGAGTCGTGGAGTTCTGCCATTACTCGTACGGTACATTTTTATAAAAAGCGTGTTTTAAAAAAAAAGTATTTTTAAATATTAATTATTTGTTGTTGTTGCTGGACCACACTCTTGCGTAGGTGAGCGGCAATGGAGGGGAGAGCGTCCACCGAGGGAGATAAATTATGTGAAATTTCCTCGAAGCTGGCGCCGCGCAGACAACTCCCACGCCCGCTTGCCTTCCTCTCCACAGTCACTCGCAATTGCCGCAGTACGCTGCGAGCTGGGCTTTTAAACGAACGTTAAAAAAAAATGCGAATTCAAAACCCTAACCCGGTAACTTTACCCTAATCCCAACCCCCTCCCTTTTTTTTCTCTCCCCCCATGTCAGCTGCAAAGCCATTGCGCTTGACAAGAAAACCTGAAAAGCTAGTATTTGTATTATTGGTTATTTCGGTAAAGTCACGTAGAAGGGAAACAATAAAATAATAAAAATATAAAACGGTAAAATTCTCACGACGTTTCGACTGCAACACAAGCAATCATCATCATCATCAGGTGTGAAAACCATAACAATAATTTTTTTCTAATTTTCTTGTTGTGGTTTTCACACCTGATGATGATTGCTTGTCTTGCAGTCGAAACGGCGTGAGAATTGTTTTATATTTTTATTATTTCATTGTTTCCCTTCTACGTGACTTTACCGAAAGAACCAAGAATATGAATCCCTGCAGTCACGAAAGCTTTAAATAAAAAAAAAGCTAGTATTTGTCAAATGTGGTGGAAAAATATAAAAAATATATTTATTTTTACACTGCTGGGGGGGGAGGGAAAGGAGATCGCTCGTACAGCGAGCGACCCTTGTGACACGGAGGAACGCGTGGATCTTGGAGGGCGAACAGAAGTCAGAGTGCAGCTCCACGTCAGAGTGGGACATCAATCCCCCCGGAATAAGAACGCGTTCCCTGGGGCCATGAAGATGAAGCCTGTTTTAAGGGGTCCGTACAACGACGTGGCACATCTGACTCGCGCTGGGTGGGGGACCGTGAGGCGTTGACTGTGTTGGCGGATATGTGAAGTGGATCTCGGATACGTGAATAACGGCGTGTAAAATGACAGTTTCACCGACACGCACAGTGCGGGGCGGTCAATTGGTCAGGGCGGATAAGTGACGTGCAGTATTTAGTCTCCTATCTTCGTGCTAACCCCCCCCACCACCCCGACTCATCGTCGTCGACTGGAAGCGTCGCAAAAGGTTGAGATAGAACCCCGACCCAGACACACGCGCGCAGCGCGCTGACGTCAGTTTTCAAAAAATGCCGCCCAAAATTCTGAGACAGAAATAAAATAGATAGAGAGAAATGGTTTATTTTTTTTCACAAAGCCATTTTTGTTTAAATAAACGTAGCAAATACGGTACACAGCCCAACAAAATACCGGGGTGGGGCGGCCACAAATATTCTTCGATCGTCGCGGGAAATCACGGCAATACACAACTCCGCTGTGCTCCTGCAACTGCAGCTGTTGTCTCTGATATCTACACGGGCCACGAGACAGGAAGAAGTCGAGACAGTACGGTAACACGTGGTTGTGTTGCGCGGTGTGCGCGGGCAGCAATTGGAATTCCCACGCGAGCGTCCGTGGAGCAATCAGCAGCAGCAGCAGGAGCAGCAGCAGCGGCAGCAAAGTGACAAGGATGGAGAGACAGAGAGAGAGGGGGGCACGTGGTGGAGCGGGGGGCAGCGGGCAGCAGCCGCTCCTTCGCAGCCTTGCGCCAGAACCCCCTCATCCGAGGCACCCCCCCCCCTCTCAAATATGACGTCACAAAGCTCTGCCCCCCCCGGGTGCGCCTTCAACGAACGCCTTCGGGGCCGTCCATAAATGAAAAAAAGTCAGACTCCCCCCCCTCAAATATGACGTCACAAAGCTCTGCCCACCCCCCCCCCCCAAAAATATAAAAAACATGCTTCAAATCGCTTTAAACTATTGTCATTGTAGTGCGTATTTAATGTGGCGTTGCACTCTGATGTCGTAGGAGAACGTGTAGTCTACATTTATTTAAAGTTGCGCATTTTGATGTGACGTCACATTTCTCACCCCCAACCCCCTCTCTCTCTCGTCACACATCGTCACAAAGGTCTGACCCCCTCCCCCCCCAGGTGCGTGACGTCATTTATGGACGGGCCCCTTCGACGGTTCGCGTGACCGGTTGGACCGTCGAGTTCCCCGCGACGAGTCTACGGGGACTCCTCCGGCAACGGGCTCGGGGGAAACCGTTGGGCTCGCGGAGAAAGGTGCTTCGGGTGGAGGTGTGGGGTGGTGGTGGTGGTGAGGAAACTCACGACATTAATCACGTGCAGTGCAACACACCGTGGGTCACGCTTGTACATGAGACTATCTTCGTGTCTCTCTCGGCTGGTTCAACAAAATAAACTCGAACATACACACACGTAGCCTGTGACATACTGCTGGGGCAAGTGCTGTTAGCCGGCACCTACGAAGGCCGGCACGGTACACTAAGGGGGTGGTTGGTCAGCCACACGCCCGGCCGCCTTTGTCTCCCGAGTGGCGATGTTTACTACACACCGCACCAGGTGCTCATTTGAGGCTGAGTCGACCTAGGGGAGGCCCTGGACCAATTCAGATAATCGTCACCGGTGCTGACCGTGAGCGTGGGTCGAACTCGGGACGCCGGGTTCGTGGCACAGCGCGCTAACCGTGACACTACCGCGTCACACACACACACACGCCACACCACACACGTCACACACGCCACACACGTCACACACACGCCACACACACGTCACACCACACACCACACACGTCACACACGCATCACACACACGTCACACCACACACGCCACACACGTCACACACACGTCACACACACGTCACACATGCGTCACACACACGTCACACACACGTCACACCACACACCACACACGTCACACACGCGTCACACTCACGTCACCCACACGTCACATGCACGTCACACGCCACACACACACCACACACACGTCATACACACCATACACACGTCACACCACACACCACACACGTCACACACACGCCACACACACCACACACACGTCACACACACACGCCGCACACACGTCACACACACGCCACACACACCACTCACACGCCACACACCACACCACACACGTCACACACACGTCACACACACACGTCACACACCACACACGTCGCACACACGTCACACACACACGTCACACGCCACACACACGTCACACGCCACACCACACAGACGTCACGCGCCACATGTATTGCAACGCTGCACACTTGTCCAGCTCTATGCGATTACAGCATGGCCGGCTACGTCCGCTGCGATTCGACGCACCGCACCGCACGAGGAGGCGATGCGTTTGCTCTTGCGGAAATCATCCGGCAACGCTTGTGAACATCACCACGGCAGAGCAGAGCATCATTCCTTTCAATGCACAAGGAAAATAAGAGCCTGTGACATCGCTCTCGAGAGCAGAGCAACGTGCCACAAATTCCTGAAAGCAAATCGTGAGAGGGAGAGAGAGAGAAAAATAACCCCAACGACCACAAAGCGCCGCTCCCTTGTCCCGGTCGACCAGATCTCCCTCGCTAGATCGGACAATTATCTCGGACCGACACACACATGGTTACAATCGAAGCAAGTGATTGATCGTTGCTCACTGCCCTCAGTTACTTAACCGCGGCCGGAGACCGCCCCGCCGGCCCGTAATATTTTACTCAAACAAATTTTTTAAGACGGACGGCGCTCGTGACTTCCCCTCCACCACTACCACCACCAACAACAACCCCCCCCAGGGCCGGCAGCGACGATGGCGAGGTGGGAGCGAGCCGCTGGAGGAGCGAGCCTGGGGAATCATCGGCGTTGTGTTCTTGCTATGCCGGCAGGCCAGGAGGTTGTCTGCGAGGCTGGGGAATCATCGGCGTTGTGTTCTTGCTATGCCGGCAGGCCAGGAGGTTGTCTGCTCGCTCGCCGCTTGAGTTGCCCCCCTCATGAGCCGAGCACTCAAGCCAGCCTAGCTGGCACGCGCAGGCCGAACGTGCACCGGTCTAACACGCACCGGTCTAACACACACTGGTCTAACGCACACCGGTCTAACACACACCAGTCTAACGCACACCGGTCTAACGCACACCGGTCTAACGCACACCGGTCTAACACACACCGGTCTAACACACACTGGTCTAACACACACTGGTCTAACACACACCGGTCTAACACACACCGGTCTAACGCACACCGGTCTAACACACACCGGTCTAACACACACCGGTCTAACACACACTGGTCTAACACACACTGGTCTAACACACACCGGTCTAACACACACTGGTCTACCACACACTGGTCTAACACACACTGGTCTAACACGCACCGGTCTAACGCACACCGGTTTAACGCACACCGGTCTAACACACACTGGTCTAACACGCACCGGTCTAACACACACCGGTCTAACACACACTGGTCTACCACACACTGGTCTAACACACACTGGTCTAACACACACTGGTCTAACGCACACCGGTTTAACGCACACCGGTCTAACACACACTGGTCTAACACGCACCGGTCTAACACACACCGGTCTAACACACACTGGTCTACCACACACTGGTCTAACACACACTGGTCTAACACACACTGGTCTAACGCACACCGGTCTAACACACACCGGTCTAACGCACACCGGTCTAACACACACCGGTCTAACGCACACCGGTTTAACGCACACCAGTCTAACGCACACCGGTCTAACGCACACCGGTCTAACACACACCGGTCTAACACACACCGGTCTAACACACACTGGTCTAACACACACTGGTCTAACACACCGGTCTAACGCACACCGGTCTAACGCGCACGGGTCTAACGCACACCGGTCTAACACACACCAGTCTAACACATACCGGTCTAACACACACCCGTCTAACACACACTGGTCTAACACACACCGGTCTAACACACACCGGTCTAACACACACTGGTCTAACACACACTGGTCTAACACACACCGGTCTAACACACACCGGTCTAACACACACCGGTCTAACGCACACCGGTCTAACACACACTGGTCTAACACACACCGGTCTAACAAACACCGGTCTAACACACACCGGTCTAACACACACCCGTCTAACACACACCGGTGTAACGCACACCGGTCTAACACACACCGGTCTAACGCACACCGGTCTAACACACACTGGTCTAACACACACCGGTCTAACAAACACCGGTCTAACACACACCGGTCTAACGGACACCGGTCTAACACACACCAGTCTAACGCACACCGGTCTAACGCACACCGGTCTAACACACACCGGTCTAACACACACCGGTCTAACACACCCGGTCTAACGCACACCGGTCTAACACACACCGGTCTAACGCACACCGGTCTAACGCACACCGGTCTAACACGCACGGGTCTAACGCACACCGGTCTAACACACACCGGTCTAACACACACCGGTCTAACACACCCAGTCTAACGCACACCGGTCTAACACACACCGGTCTAACACACACCGGTCTAACACACACCGGTCTAACGCACACCGGTCTAACGGACACTGGTCTAACGCACACTGGTCTAACGCACACCGGTCTAACACACACCGGTCTAATGGACACTGGTCTAACGCACACCGGTCTAACGCACACCGGTCTAACACACACCGGTCTAACACACACTGGTCTAACACACACCGGTCTAACACACACCGGTCTAATGCACACCGGTCTAACACACACCGGTCTAACACACACCGGTCTAACACACACCGGTCTAACACACACCGGTCTAACGCACACCGGTCTAACACAAACCGGTCTAATGCACACCGGTCTAACACACACCGGTCTAACGCGCACCGGTCTAACACACACCGGTCTAACACGCACCGGTCTAACGCGCACCGGTCTAACACACACCGGTCTAACACACACCGGTCTAACACACACCGGTCTAACACACACCGGTCTAACGCGCACCGGTCTAACACACACCGGTCTAACGCGCACCAGTCTAACACACATTGGTCTAACACACACCGGTCTAACGCACACCGGTCTAATGGACACTGGTCTAACGCACACCGGTCTAACGCACACCGGTCTAACACACACCGGTCTAACACACACTGGTCTAACACACACCGGTCTAACACACACCGGTCTAATGCACACCGGTCTAACACACACCGGTCTAACACACACCGGTCTAATACACACCGGTCTAATGCACACCGGTCTAACACACACCGGTCTAACACACACCGGTCTAACACACACCGGTCTAACGCGCACCGGTCTAACACACACCGGTCTAACGCGCACCAGTCTAACACACATTGGTCTAACACACACCGGTCTAACGCACACCGGTCTAATGGACACTGGTCTAACGCACACCGGTCTAACGCACACCGGTCTAACACACACCGGTCTAACACACACTGGTCTAACACACACCGGTCTAACACACACCGGTCTAATGCACACCGGTCTAACACACACCGGTCTAACACACACCGGTCTAACACAGACCGGTCTAATGCACACCGGTCTAACACACACCGGTCTAATGCACACCGGTCTAACACACACCGGTCTAACACGCACCGGTCTAACGCGCACCGGTCTAACGCGCACCGGTCTAACACGCACTGGTCTAACACACACGGATTTAACACACACGGGTCTAACACACACCGGTCTAACACACACCGGTCTAACGCGCACCGGTATGCTGGATTATCTTCTCGAGCTGTGCCACCCAGCACACCGCATCCAGCCGTGCCTCACCTGCCGCAGCCTTGCCAGGGACCCGGACAATGTTCAGTGAGAAATGGAATCGCCGCAACGTCGCTCGCCGCGCTCCGCGTCGGTGGACGCAGAGGAGGAGCGACAGAGGGGCTAGGCGCGCGCTCCGTGGTGACGGACGGCGACCCACGAACCCCGAGGTTTCCCCCGCCGGCAACGCCTCCTCCTCCTCCTGCTCCTCCTCCTCCTCTCGCGCTTTCTAAATTTAGCGGCAATGCCCCGCGCGAAGCTGGATGCGCGATGTAGCGGTGATCGCCCGTGGCGTTTTTTTTATTCCTCACGTAATCGCTTAATTCACACGCACGTCCCGGACTCTACCCGGGGAGTTTAATTTCCCCGCTTTGAGTGGCTCGTCTGCTTTATCTTCGCTCCCTGCCTCCCAGATTCACGCACTGCCCCCACCCTCACCTACTCCAACCCCCCATACCCCCAAAGGGCAACCCAGGTATTCACCGCAACGCGATCGCTCAATCGGCGCGACGTGGCGGCGACGGCGCCGAGGAGCATCGGTGTGCGGTGGACGGCGGCAACGACAAAACAACCCAATTTCCATCGCGTAAACACAACTCATTCTCGTTCGCTGCTACGTTGGAAGTGGCGCACGGATGACGCCAAAAAAAAAGCTCAAAACGCGGCCATAAATGAAAAAAAATATTTAAAGAGGTGAGGTTTTCGGGCAATGGGCTTCCCCCTCCAGAGCATATTCTTCACAGCAGATCGCATTTGTGCCATTTCCGTATGCCCCAGTATGTTGGACTTCTATCACACCATACGTTGCCAAACGCGCTAATCGGAGGTGCCAATGAAGAAGGGCCATCGGTTTGGAACATTGCCAATAATTTTTTTAAGGCCACAGTGTTATTATCTAGCGCGATAGAGTTTTTTTTGCGTGAGTTATCATCACGCTCAACCCCAGCGCGAGCTAGATGAGCCCTCTTCTCTGCGGCAGACATCGAGCGGCTTCAACGCCGATTCCGTTACGCGCCTCAAGCGAAATTAAACGAGACCCACCGCTGGGCAGGTAATGGCCACGCTCGGCCAATAATGGCCGCAACTTTGTCAGTGGCACCCACGTCACAACGGGCAGCCGCCCCGCTGACGAAAGCTGCACTCTGCTAATCCGCGGGTATTCATCTCCGGCAAGCACGGGGAATTTTGGGGGTTAATTTTCACCGACCGAAATCTAGCAGGGAACAAGCCTCACCTGGGCGTACCAAGGCGAGGAGAATCGCCGGCACGGACGACGGAGCGGCGTCTTTCTTTCAGAAAGTAAAAAAACAAACATCCGAGAAGGGAAAATGGATTGCATTAACCTGTGCGAAGTCGCCATGATTCATGGCGCCAGGATTATTGGGCCCCTGCGAGTGTAAAATCCCGAGCAGCGCGGCCATATTAGGACGATCAAGATTTAACGAGCGCCATGACAGGTTGCCCGACTTGTATTTTTATTTGACTAGGCTGAGTGTTTTTTTTTGTTGCCGAGGAATGCATCGGCCGATGGCGCGGCCAGCGGTAACCGCGGAGCCGGCGCCTCTGGACGGCGAGGGCGGCGCCTCTCCACTCTCCGTGCCACCACCGCCACCACGCCGCGCACGGCGCTCCTAACATTCCCCTTCAGCCCCGTCCCAGGCCGGGCCCCTGCGCGGACCGAGTCAATGACGGCTGAAGCAGAGTGTGCGGCGCGCGACGAGCAGCAACCGAGCCCCTTTGCAATTAAAGGGGTTCATTTCCCCGCGACCGCAGTCACCCAGGGCGGTAGCGAGGCACTCCGTGCCGTAGTGCGCTCCAAGAGGCCCCCACTTTCCTCCGCCCACTCGAAGGCGGAACCCCCGAACCCCCGGCCCCGCCACCGACAGCGGCTGTTCATCCCAATCGCCGACATCTCCGCTTCAGTCGCACTCGCTGCGCTTATTGCCGCGGAAGAGTCTGGCCGGCTTTAGCCGCCGCCCACTTCGCGCGAGGAATTCGCGTGCCCGGTCTGACCGGCCTCTCGGAGAAGGACGGAAATAAAAAAATGGTAAGCTGTGACGATGGGCAAAGTGATTTCCACCAGGCTTTTAAGAGACGCTTGACAAAACATCTCGCGCGCCCATGTCCTCGTAAGGAATTATCCACGAGTGTGCAAAGATAACCATCGACGCTGCGCACACACGAACGTTGTGCATGCATAACGTAGTAAACGGCATATTTACAAAATTGCTTCGCTGGTTGTGTAATAGTTAGATAATGATTATCAAGCTCTGCGCCTTGGATATTGTTATTTGTCTAGAGTGTGGATGTTTGCCAATCCGATTAGATTAGTGCATGGACATGACACATTCAGTTGTGATGTTTTACAAATATATATTTTTGGCTGTTTCGTGTTGCTACGTGTGTTGTTGTACTCAGCAGTGCCTAATTGCTCGCTGCTGATACCAAAATATGAAAATATGAAAAAAAGAAGCTAACCTACATCAGGAAAAAACATGTTTCATATTCTAAACATTCTCAGCAAAGTGGTGAGAGGCAACCGCATCGGTGTTGATGAGCAGAGCAGCATTTCATCGCTCACCCACAGAAGCCTGCCATGTCGCCGGCACAGGGCCACCCCGCATGGACTGGCCGTGGCCTTAAGTGCGTGGTTAGAGGTGGACCATGCCTCTAGTTTGAAGAGAAAATGAGAAACACCAGCCCCCCTCTGATCTTGCGTTTCGGTAGCACGTGTCAGTTCCGTAACTGAGCCAGAATGATTAATAACAATTCAGCACTTACAAGGAACCTTCCGTGAAGAAAGAAAAAAACACTCACGGCTTCGTGCGTGAAAAGGAGAAAGATGGTAAAGAAAGAACTGAGTGGCGGGATGAGAGCCAAAGTGGGACAAAACGAAGTATGATTTAAAGATCTCAACACGATGATCCGAGAGCCTGATCTCCCACGGCAGGAAGTTCCACATCGGCGGGGGGGGGGGGCACCACAGAAAACGCCGGACCACCCCAAGAACGCAACCGGGATCGAGGTTCGTGCATTAAAGGGGCACGATCGGCAGATCTCAACGACCCTGCCAGGGCACCAAATTGAATTTCCCCCCCCGGAACAGAAAGTGAAGCGAGCGCTCGCAAGGGCCTGAACACGAGCCACGCGATCGGCAACGGCCGTCGTGCGACGGCGGCAGCGGCTTCGCGAGCCCACGACGCCGGACGGGAGCGCTGAAATCTCCCCGGAGAACCGGTCCCGCGACTGCCCATTCATACGTCACTCCCGCATTCCAGTCAACGCTCCGTCGCCCGCCCGCCCGTCCGCGTGCGCACCTGGGGAGGCGAGCCCCTGCAGCCTCCACCCCGCCACGGCTTCTCGCAAGCCGCGAAAGAATGAGGAGCAGCCGGGCCCTGCAACGGGCAGCCGGGGTGCACGGCGGTCTCACCTGACTCGTCCAAGGGCGGCCGTTTCTTGCGCAGTTTCTTCTTCGGCGGGGGGACGGCGCCGTCACTCCGCCTCTCCCCGCCATCCGCCCTCGTCCCCGTCACCTCGTCCACCTCATCCTCGTCATCATCGTCATCCTCATCCAGGTCGTCCTCATCCTCGTCCTCTTCCTCCTCCTCCTCCTCCTCGTCCTCTCCACTCTCGAAGTCGCTCTGACCGCCGAGCCCGCCTCCGGCACCGCCGCCGCCACCACCGCCTCTGCTGCCACCGCCGCCGCCGCGGCCACCGCTGCCGCCACCGCCGCCGCCGCCGCCGCGGGAGAAGAGGTCGGCACGGGAGCCGGGGGGCTGGCGGACGCCCCGGCGGCGGCCGCGCTGCGCGCCGTTGCGCCACACCCAGCCCTGCCGCTCCTCGCCGATCCCGTAGCCCGCGTCGTCGTCCTCGTCGTCGTCGTCCTCGTCCTCCTCGTCGTCCTCCTCGTCGTCCTCCTCCGGCTGCTGTCGCTGCCGGAGTCACGGGGGAGAAAAACGGCCGATCGTGGAGTCAGTGGCACCTGGGGGAGCGGGTGCGACGCTATCGTGGGTACCGCGCAGACCTCATCGGGCGCTTCCCCTCATCGACATCATCGTCGACATCGGCCCTGATCAATCCACTGCCGAATGAAGGCCTCCAGAAGCTGTCGCCCTCTGTCGCGGTCCGGCGATCCAGTGCGCGTGCTCCGGTGTCCACCGGTTCGCATGCTTCGCACAAACCCTCCAGGCGACGAACCAATCGATTCGCGAATCAATTCGCGATCCCCCCGACATTGAATCGTCCGGATCAATGATCATGAGCAATCGTTAACGGGCGTCACCTCGAGGTGCGGCGGCTGCCAGGCGGGGCGCGGGCTGCGTGCCTGGCCCCGCACGGGCTCCATGTACATCCAGGCACCGCCCTCCTTCTCCTTGAGCCGCGTCTCCTTGCGGCCGCCGCGACCCCCGCCGTCGCCGGCCTTGGGCGCCAGCGAGCGCGCGGGCAGCGGCGCCGCCACGGCCGTCGGCGTCGCCACCTCCACGGCGGGGCAGCCGGGCCCCTCGGGCCCCCCGCCTTTCCCCGCTCCTCCGCCGCCGCCGCCGCCTCCTCCGCCGACGGCGCCCGCGGACTCGCAGCAGCCGGCCCCCAGGCACGCCGCCGCCGCCACCGCCGCCGCCGCGATCACCACCGCCGCCGCTCCCCCCCCGGGGAGCGGGGGCGGCTCCGAGGAGAGGGGGTCCTTGTGCGCGCTCGCCATTCCCGGCAGCGCCGGCCGGCCGGCTCGCTGGCTCCCTGGCACAGCGGGCGATGCGGGGGCGCGAGTCAGCGGTGCCGGCGTGGGGGGTCGAGCGGCCGTGGAATTTTTTTCCATTTTTACGGACAAAATATTTCGCCCGGATTGCGGCGTCCCGTTTTGCAAGGGTGTGCGGGGGTGCCGATTGACGCGCACGTGCGATGGCACGGCCGTTGCACGCGCCCGCGCGGAGCATAAGGCGCTCCCGGAAAGTGGGGCACAGGCCACTGTGTGTGGTCAACTTCTTTCGCACCGTGCGTAGCGAACCGCGCTTTAATCGGAGCTGCGGTTTGTACAACCTGACACAGCTTGACACACGGCCACGTGTGGGCCCTGTGTCACGTTGTACGAATTCAGTCTCACACACGCAACTATCGCTTTCAAATACAATCCACCGCTAGCGATGTCAGTAGAGGGGGAATTGTTTGACCATACTTCACCATGCTAGTCGTGGCCCACATATCGAACTCAGGTCGCTGGGTCGGTAGCGCAGTGCGCTAACCAATGCGCCACCGCCCCACCGCAGAGTGCACATCATTTAATAATTACGCAAACAATACGGAGCGCAAGCCGTGACGATTCATCAAAATTGTGGAGGAGGTGGTGGGAGAGGAGGGTGAATTGTTACTGGGTGCGAGACAGATCGTTAAGTCGGGGGACCGTGAGAGACGGTGACGGCTGATGATCATTCCAGCAGTGGATTGATCATGGCTGACAATGACGCTGCTGCTATCGTCGTTTTTTGTATTGTTTTCTTGTAACGTTCTGAGCCCATGCCCCTACTGAACATCTGTGAAATAAGAGCTCTATAGCTCATCGGATTCCTCCAGCATAAATGCAAATTCAGATTCTGCTGCTGCTGCCGCTGCTGCACCGGAGCGACCGCGTGCACGGGCCGCACACCTTGCCGCGCGGTCCCGCACATCGTCGGGGCTTCGATAACCCGTGGGTGCCGGCCCCGGGGCCCCGTACCACTGGGAGCCGTCCCACGGGCCCAGTCGAGCGAGCGCAGGCGGGTGGGCGAGGGGGGTGCAATGGGCGCGCCGTCGCTCCGTCAGTTAGTATTTCCCCAGCTGGAAAACGCAGCGGGACAAATACCCCCCCCCCCCCCCCCGGTGAAAACAATGGGTGGTGGGTCCCTCTTACAATCAGGACTCGCTTCTTGAATGAGGAATAAAGGAGGGAGACGCCGGTGTAATTGACGTTAATGTGAGCACAGCACCGGCCAGGGGACCCTTTCTCGCGGCTTAATAATGCGCGGCTATTGTGTGGGCGCCGTGTGTAGCCGCTCCGCCTAGCGACGGGCCGGTCCACTCGAGCCGCCGGTGGCTTGGGGGACGCCTTAATCCAGCAGTGGACTGAGCATGGCTGATGAATATGATGAACATTAATTGTACCTACGATGAAATGTACGTCAGTGATAACAGGACTCATTCTTTATTGACATTGTCACATTCATGCAAGATCTCAAAAACGGTCTTTGACATTTTTGTCAGCACTGGCTCTGGGTTCATTCCCCGACGTTCCCAGCTTGGGGCATAACGATGGATCGATTACAACCCGAGGCTAAGGGGGGCCCAGACCTAGACGATTTGAGAATAGACAAAACGTGAGGCGATTCGAAGGGCTGTGAGGAGAGGGAAACCGACGGTGCGGTGGATCGAGATGCGAGGACGGTGAATGTGACCAGAGGAGAGGCACAGAGTAGAAACTCACGGAGAGAACCACATCGCGGCTGCCGACCCATGTGACCACGGGAACTGTGGTTTCAAAGACGATTGTTGATTCTAAGGTGCGCGACGCGTGTGTCGTGAGCCTAAGGGGGTCGCTGTCGATCGCCAAACCAACGGATGCACCGTTAGTTACACCGGTGCCTCCACAGCTCGCACGCCTCCGCGTTGGGGCGTCATCGCTTGCTCGCCCCAACGCTCTGCGGCCGTCACTCAGCCGAGCTCAGATGAATCGTGTCGCTTCGAACGTCCTACAACTCACAGCGCTCGAGTGGTTTTTTTTTTTACGACCGTGTTTCTTTTACCTTAATCCCGGCAAAAGTACCTGGGCACTGGTACAATCGGGACGACGACGATGATGATAACGGTGGTGACGGCGACCGTTACGCTCATAAGTCGTTCAGTCCGCGTACGCTAACATTTCGGCAAACGCCGTGTTATGCAACCTTCCAAAACATAGCTTGCCGTGTAAACCCTGCGGCATTACCCATAAAGCTGCCGCCGCTGCCGCTCACGAGAGAGAGAGAGAGAGGGGGTTGTTGCGCAAGACCGTGGCGCTTCCGACATCCCGACGGCCACGGAGAGGCTGCAAGCGGCCCAACGCCCGCAGCCTCTGCTGCGCGAACTCGACGGCAACGCCAAAAGCCGCGATCAATCGGAGAGCGGCGCGCCGCCACGGCCAAAGGAAATCCACAAGAGCGGCAGCTATAAATAGCTGCCGCTTATCTTGCATTTTCGCAACTGCCAAGATTTCACATTGTGGGCGCGAGCGCTCTGCTGCCAGCCCATGAATCTCCTCCTTCCCCTCCTGCTCATCCTCCTCCTCCTCCTCTCGATGCCCCCAATCCGATCAAATGCCTCCCTCCCTGAAAGATCCCCTGGTAGCCAGACACTCAACGCAGCTGAATCCACAGTCAGGGCTTCACGCACTCACACTCTACCAGCCTTAAGCCCTGGATATTACGGAGAGAATCTTAGGGGATTTTAAAAAATCTAATTCCGGGATTTGCAGTTTTTAGTCCTCTTACAAATGAAATGCAGCTCTTCCAACCCAACAACGATCATGGTACAGTGGTTCTAATTTACAGCCCTTTGTCAAAACAATGCTGAATTAAGGCCTCCCTACATGGTGGTGACCATTGGGAATGTTTGGCCATACTTCACCGTTTTGATCAGTGTGGATTGAGGGAGGAAATAAGGGGGGCAGGGCGGGGGGGGGGGGTTCAGTACTGGTTCACACAAAACTCGCCACTGAACTTTGCCGTGGCCAAGAATTTATCTCAGGTCGCCGGATTCGTAGCACAGGGCGCTGACGAACACAGTGACGGCCAACGTCCGTGACAATTATGTGAACCGGGCCTGGGCCTCCCCTAGCACGACTCAGCCTTAAATGAGCACCTGGATGCTATGGGTTAAAACATCAGCAACGGGGCGTGGCGCCGGCCATCCACCGCATCACGCGCCATGCCAGGCCTTAATAAGGCACTCGCACAACGGCACTTGCCCCGACAGTCTGTTAAAGGCTACGATCGCCACGCGTTCGGATTCGTCGCTAGGGCTCGGCCTTTAGGCAATGGCCGAGCAGCGGGCGCGCGACATCGCTCTCCTTCTGCTCAGGGTGTCTGTAGGCCTCACCACTGGTCACACCGGAGACCTGGGGGTCCTTCACGTTGCACCTCTTCCCTGGGGACCCGTTCTTCTTTAGGTCATTCCCCCTGCGGACAGACGGGCAGAGGGAGACGCGGAGAGAGACACACGCACGCGGCGTCACGCACCACTCCGCACTATTCCACGCGCGCGAGCGAGGGGCAAAAGCGATAGCCGCACACACACTTCCCTGCATCGGCGCCGACCGCGCCGATCTCTGTCTCTGCTCCGCGTGATACCTCTCGCGTTCTGCAGATGCCGATGATCCGTAGGTAGATTGACCCAACGCTGTCCAAATGCTTCCTGAAACAAAGCCACGCCATCACCGGCAGTGCCCCCTCAGCTCATCCGGAGGCAAACTGCCAGATGTCAACAGAGGCAAGGACCCTCTCTTTAAGATCTTGGGTCGTCCTAGTTTGACGCAGCATTTTTTTGCCGTAACCTTTGTTGCCATATTGCATGGAATTAGGGACCGTACGATTAAAGAGAGGATCCTGTCCTCTATTAACATCTGGAAGTTCGCCAGCGTTGATTCAAGCAGGCGTGACTCTGCTGATGAGATCCTGGGTGTCGTAATGGGTCCATGGGTTTTGCTTGTATTCCATCAATGCTGCTCATATGATTTGCTCCCACAAGGCCGTGCGGCAGTTGGCTTTTTGTGCAGGATATTTAATAACACAATTACGTGGAAAGATATATGAAGGAGACACATTTCCCCGGCGCTTATCTATTTTGTAAGATATATTTAGGTCGCCTTATATGCACGCACAGTTTCTTGTATATAAATACCCACGTGTACGACCACACAAACAGGTGTATTCGCTTACAAATGCAGTGCTACGTGTGCACACTCACACACTACAGTAGATCATTTACGCTTAACACACATGCACGCATCGCTTTAACATACATAATGCATGCGTGTGCATAATTCAGACGACTGCTGTATAATACAGGGTAATACGCACGTGTATATGAATTCGTTGTACGTATGCCGATGCGTGTGTAGCCATGTGCTCACGCGCTGCGCGATGAAACCGAGCAAGCACCACGGTGAGTTCGATTCCCGACCGCGGTCAACGTCAGTGGCGAGTGATTTCTCTCCTGTTCCCCCGAGTTAAACTTTTTTTTTTAATTAGCACCTGGCATGCAAGGGGTGGTGGTGGTGGTGGTGGTAAAAAATATCGCCACTACGTGTCCACACTAGGACCGTGCCGGCCTTAAAAAGGCGCTCCCTCACAGCACTTTGCCCCAAGGGCCTGTTTCTACTGGACATCTGTGAAAATACTGCGCATCTGTGAAAAAGAGCTTCATGGCTCATCGGATTCCTCCTGCAGTGTAAATAAATATTCTGCTATGGGAGGGGGTGGTCTCTGTCCCCCGTACAGACGCTGACCGGTGATTATCCTAGTAGCAAAAGTAGCTACATACGCAGTGATTCTGCACTTGCTCTATTAATATAGTACTATACCGCCTTCAACTTTTATGAACGACTGGGTGTTTAATGTTAGCGATTTGTCGCATTATTTGGCTGCATAGCAAATGAAAAAAAAATACAATTACTTTACTGTGCAATTTAAAAAAAATGTGTGTTTTAATATTTACGTGGTTTTAAAAAAAAAATTGAGGGTCCCTTTATAACATCATATGCTGCAGGCCCCGCACCAGCTTCATCCGGCACTGACGCTGACTGCATGCGATCCCCGCTGCCGCAGCGCAGCGAGACACATCCGCGTCTCGCTCGCTCGCCCTACTGCTGCTGCTGCTGCTCATGCCGCTGCTGCATTGACCGACGCAGGGCGGAGGCTGAGGCTGGCCGCGAACAGCAATGATGGGATTCATAATAAAGGTTTTTGGGTTAGATCGCGTTTATTTATAAATGTGTCGTAACCCTCCACCACCCGACACGGCCAATCAGCAAAGAAAAGTGTCACGTTGACAAAAGACAAATAATTCACTACTTCAGCCCACCGGTGTGTTGAAGAGTGAATCCACATTTACAGTTTGAGTACGACGTTTCGCTGGTAAATACTTCCAGCATCATCGGGCAATTCGCCAGAATGGTAAAGCCCTCGCTTGCTCCCGGTTTTATATAGAGCAGAAAGCCTACGTGTTAAACTGAGCAATGATGGGAGTTGGCACCCGGGTCCGGTGAGACCTGGGTTCGCACCCAGATGTAGTGGGAGCTGCGCGAACTTCTCTCCGTTCGCCACGACCCCCCCCCCACCCCCCGGGGTCTCCCCCAGCCCCACCCATCCCCCGGGGTGGCGAGGTAGCTGCATGCTCCCCATTGCAAGGGCGACTTTCCTTGCTTTTCCCCTTAGGCGCGCGTTTGTTTTTGTTGTTGTCTTGAGTATTTAACTCAGTGACGCTGGCAGGGGGCGCCTGCGTTCCACTGCTGGATAGACCCCCCCCGCACCGCCGTGGCTTCTTGCGCTTCGCCAGGCAACAGAAAACAAATCCTGCGGTGCGGCGCGAGAGCGCCAAACACTACACTACCGCTCCCCACACACGCACAGACACACACACACATACGCACAGACACACGCACAGACACAGACACACCTGCACACACAGACACACACACACAGATACACACAGACCCAAACACAGACACACAGACACACGCACAGACACAGACACACCTGCACACACACAGACACACACACAGACACACACACAGACACACACAGACACATACACACACAGACACACACACCTGCACACACACAGACACACACAGACACATACACACCTGCACAGACACACACAGACACACACACACACCTGCACACACACAGACACACACACCTGCACACACACACCTGCACACACACAGACACACACAGAGACACATACACACACACCTGCACAGACACACACAGACACATACACACATACACACCTGCACAGACACACACACACACACCTGCACACACACAGACACACACAGACACATACACACCTGCACAGACACACACACACACACACCTGCACACACACAGATACACACACACCTGCACACACACCTGCACACACACAGACACACACAGAGACACATACACACACACCTGCACAGACACACACAGACACATACACACCTGCACAGACACACACGCACAGATACACACACACACACACACCTGCACACACAGAGACACACGCACACATACACACCTGCACAGACACACACACACACCTGCACACACGTACAACACCGATGCGCACAACGGCCCGTCGCGTAAGCCTCCGACAGGGACTGCCGTGACAGGCACTGTTAGCGAGCACCTCCCAAGCACCCACAACACCTCGGAGCACCGAGGTGTTGTGGACAGAGGCGCGCGCTCGGCCGCCTTTGTCTCCCCAGTGCTGACGTTTACACATCGTCGCAGCAGCAGCAGCTGCTTAAATTCGAGGCTGAGTCGACCTAAGTCATCTGGTGCTGGCCGTGAGCTCGAATCGGGTCACCGGGCGCGTAACGCAGTGCGCTAACCATCGCGCCACCCACCGCTGCACGCACGCACGCGCGCGCCCATCCAGTGTGCACACGCACACGCACGCACGTATGCGCGCGTGCGTGTGCACACGCAGACGACACGCAGTCGCGCTGGGTGGTGATTCCCGCACACTCTGTTGGGGGGGACACGAAGACCATCAGTTGACGGGCATCGCGAGGATACATATACAGTATAGCGGAGATAAGCGCGGATGGGTGTGCGTGGACATGCACACACGCCGCACACGTGCACACACGCCGCACACGTGCAACGAAAGCGTGCCCGTCTGTGCCCTGTGCACTGAGGAGCGGTGGCGCAGCGATTACCGCAGCGTGCCGCGAACCCGGCCGCCCGGGGTTCGATTCCCGTCCACCAACCCGTCGACTGTGTTCCAAGCGGTCATGGGCCTCCTTCCCCTTAGGTCGACTCAGACTTAAGCAGGCACCTGGTGCGCTGCGTAAAGAGCGCGGCCGTGCGTGGTGCTGGCCACCCACTCGGGTGCCGGCCATCATCGGTGCGACTCGCTAACAGCACTTGACCCAACAGGCTATCGAGTGGGGGGGGGGGTCTTTGTATGTATGGGGGAGCGGTGGCGTAGTGATTAGCGCACGGCTCTCAAAACATTAAACGCGTGCAGTACTCCTCTCTAAGGCGTCCAAAAAACCCCGCATCGTGGACGGGGAGACAAAGGCGGACGGGACCGTGTTGCCGTCGTGCCACGCCGCTCTCGTCGTGCTGCCAATAGGTGCTCGCTAACAACACTTTCCCCGACATCCCGTGTAGGTTACACGGGGCGGAGGTGAAGAGGGGGGTGGTGGTGGGGGGGGAAGATCTTTCCCTTTGTTTGTTTGGCCACGGAGCGGGGAGGCCCTGCGCGCTCCCAGCCATCTCCCTCTTTCAGAGACTCCATTTTGCGAAAGCCGAGAGGTATTTTTGGTGCGTACAGCGAGCTGCTGCTGCTGCCGATAATGCTGTCCCTTCGTGCGAAGGCCGCGTACGCAACACCTCGGCAGAAGCATCGTCATCATCAGCAGCATCATCATCAGCGTCATCAGCAGCAGCGCACGTGCAGCGCGAGCGGTTCGACTCGTGCTCAAGACGACTTCACGGAGAGCCACACACCGCGCGCGCTTTACGACGACGCCGCCGCCGCCCCCCCCCCTACCCCCACCCACCCATCGAGTTGCGTTCCCGTCTCGCGGCCGACAGACAGCCCGTCAGACAGACCGACAGACTACCCTACCTGGTGCCGCGGTGTAAAGGTCGCCACGGGGGAGACAAAGGCGGCCGTGCCGTGCCGTGCCGGCGCTAACCTCGCTAAACGGCACATGTGTCTTTGCGTACGACTTTTGTCACCCGCGCACGCCAGGCACACAAAAGAGAGGCCAGCCACGCTGTGTGGACCTCTACCCGCGCGTCGTGCGTTCGCTGGACGCTGCATGGCAGGGCGGAGGAGCGCAGTGGTTGCTTTGCGGCGCCGCTGAACCCCCAAGACCCCCCACCCACCCACCCCAGTTCGACTCCCCGGCCACGGCTTGACCGTCCCTTGCGCGAGATTGCCAATTCTGAACCCATGCTGCTGGTGCCCATCAGACCTTGCCTTTCACCAACCCGCGCACTGACAATCGTGGTGAAGTATGGCCAAATGCAAACCTCGCCCACGACCGACAACGGGGCGTGTGTGTGGCGGTGGTGGGGAGGGGAGGCTTCATCCAGCAGTGGATTTGATCACGGCCTGTGTGACTTACCGTGTTGCGATTGTCGTGTGCACTGTCAGTGATGCAAATGCAACAATTCCCCGTATAGCCTTGAAGAGACTGTGTTGGGGCAAAGTGCTGTCAGCGAGCAGCACCGATGAAGGCCGGCACGGTCCACCAGGGGGTGGGTGGCCAGCACCACGCCCGACCGCCTTTGTCTCCCCGGTGCTGACGTGTCCCCGCGCGGCGAACTCTACATCGACACATCGCACCAAGATACTAAATTAAGGCTGAGTAGACCTAGGCGGAGCTCCAGGACCGGGTCCTGAATTTTGCTGCCACTGTTATTGGTCGCGAGCGGAAATTGAACCGGGGTGAACAATGCACGCACACACAGAGACAAAGACCCCCCCACACCCGTATAGCCTTCACGGACTGTTGGGGCAAGTGCTGTTAGTGAGTAGCGCCTTTGAAGGCCGGCACGGCACACACGAGAGTGGGTGGGTCAAGCACCACGCCCGACAAAGTCACACACACACACGCACGGATAGAAAGGGACGTGCCTGAGTCCCGTCGATTGTCACGAGGAATCACCCCCAAGTTCATAGGGGACTCTCCCAATGGTGGAGTGGTTAAGAGAACCGCGACATAAATACGCCTGCGTGCAGTATTTTCATTCCCTCTTAAGATTTTCGTGGGGGTTTCTTTTAAACGACGTTTAGTTTTTCTTTTCTAAAACACAACAATGATGATAAAAAACGTACACACAGATATAATTGCAATTGTGTATTTTGCGTTAATGCGCGAGGCATACGCTACGCGTATCGCGGATGCTGCAGTTGTGGCTGGAGCTGTCATGCAACACGGCTCAGCTGCTAACACACACACGTACACGCACCCGTGCGCTCACACAGCCATATACACAGCCGCACACACACACAATATAAGCAAACACACACACACGC